AACCGGCTCAAATAGTTTACGCTATAAGATACGTCTGGCCGTGTTCCACTCGCAACATACAGAAGAAGTCCAATCAAGTTTCTATACTTTAACGTTGCACTGACATCTTGACTTGGTTCAATGCTTAAATTCATTTCCATTGGTGTCTCAAAGTTCTTGGATTCGATTACGTTATACTTTTCAGCTAAACTTACAATGTATTTTTCCTGGCTTAAAGTCATTCTGCCTTCTTTTGGTTCAAAGACTACATCTATTCCAAGATACTGTTTCACCTTTCCCAGATCTTTCATTCGGAATCTATTGTTCAATAGCCTTTTAACTTCGTCAATTGCCTCATTTTTCTCCCCACAAATCAAAATATCATCCACATACAGACATAGATATATATTTACATTATTTACACACCCTGTATACAAACAATAGTCATAGTCTGACCTATTGAAATTAATTGACATGAATTCGTGAAAGCATTCATACCAATCACGTGGGCTTTCTCGCAATCCATAAAGAGCTTTTTGTAGTTTGCACACTTTATTATTCTCTGTACAATATCCATCAGGTGGGTAAATATAAACTTCAGACTTAATACTCTCATTCAAGAATGCTGTCTCAACGTCCATTTGTTCAATGTTCCATCCTCTTACACATGCAATTGATAATAAAGCTTTCATCGTTGTCATTCGCGCTACTGGTGAATAAATTTCCTCGTTTTCTTCATACATCTGTTGGAAACCTCGTGCGACTACTCTTGCCTTATACTTCCCATTCGACTTGATCCTAAAGATCCATTTAACATCTATTATTTTCTTATTTTCTGGTCTATCAACTAAAATCCACGTTTCGTTCTTTTCCAAACTGTTCAATTCCTCTTTCATTGCATCTTTCCATTTATTTACATCCGGACTTTTTATTGCTTCATCATACGTATCTGGTACCAGTGCATCACTAAAATTTATATATACAACATGATCTTTATATTTCTCTGGCATTTTTCTATCTCTTTTTGGTCGGACATCAACGGTAACACAAACGGTCTTCCTATCTTGGACATTACGATCCGAGCATCTCGATTGCTCTGTCGTAGAGATTTGTACTTCATCACATTTTCTTTTAATGTCGACCATGGAATCTTTCACTCTTTAGAAGCTCTGTAAATTGTCCTTTTTGAACTCAAAACATTTTCAACTGCGGTTTTAAGATCGAATTCCGAGTACTTTCTGTTCTTTTTGTTATCCATGATATCTCAAAGTTAACATAATAATAATTAATCACTTAATACTCATAATCCAGGGTACTGGTGGGGTTAGAGCCGCCTCTGACAAGGTATATGGTAACAATCCCGTTAACAGATATCAAAGAGTAAAGTAAGTATACCAAAGGATAGCTATAACAAAGTTTGTGTTTTATTTTAATTTGATAAAAGGATTAGCATCCTTTTTCTGTCAATACGATATTAATTTGTTCGTAATAGTAATCAATATCGTCGAGTATCGCTATTGACTGTAGGTAGCGGTACTTAGTACTTGATTATTGACATGTCAGAATTTTTGGCGGGATATCATCGAGTGTGGTTGGCGTCTTATTTTAATTATTCTTAAATTCGTTCATAGTGGATATTGTGAAATAAAATTGGTGTGATTTTGTGTTACAACTGTCTGCGTAACTGAAGAATTAATAGAATCGTCAAAATATACGCTATTCCGGTCAAGTGGACGTGAGAATTTTATTGTAGTATTGACTACCTCGCAGAAGCTTATCAAAAAAGCCAGCTTATCGAGCTGGCATTTCGTGCCAAACACTTCAAGAAACATTAGAATGCGTCACACCGACATTCTAATGTAAAAAGAAAAACAGAATAATTTAACTTAAGACTAGGCTGTATGGACATGGTTTTCCTTGCCTTCCCTGAAAAGGAAGAACTTAACGAAAAAAAAGGGGGTTTTTGGCGGGATTTCATCGAGTTCGGTTGGCGTCTTATTTTAATTATTCTTAAATTCGTTCATAGTGGATATTGTGTAATAAAATTGGTGTGGTTTTGTGTAACAACTGTCTGCGTAACTGAAGAATTAGTGGAATCATTAAAATATACGCTATTCCGGTCAAGTGGACGTGAGAATTTTATTGTAGTGTTGACTACCTCACAGAAGCTTATCGAAAAAGCCAACTCGATACATTTCGTGCCAAACACTCCAAGAAATATTAGAATGCGTCACACCGACATTCTAATGTAAAAACAAAAAGAAGATTAATTAATTAAAGACCAGGCTGTATGGGCATTGTTCCCTTTGCCTTCCCTAAAACGGGAGAACTTCAACAAAAAAAAACGAAAAAAAAAATTGACATCTGTCAAATGCAGCGTTGCCAGAACGTCCCAAAAGGGACGATTTTCGTCCCTTTTGTCATCAAAGCGTCCCTTCGATGTCCTTTTACATATTCCGTCCCTTTTTCCGTCCGTTTTAAATAACGCTCCACTGCAACATTAGACGAATGCATTTCGTTTCAATCATTGATTTATTTCACTAAGTTGCAATCACAATACGTTGTAGATTGTCAACTTTGTTCGTCAAATCACCAAGTAAACTACATCGAATCCAACGCTCGCTATGCCTACGTTTAATATATACCTACGCAATGCTCAAACCCACCTACCATTATCTTACCTTATAAAAACTTTTGTTTTTGAGGTATGTTTCAATTATGAATATAATAACTTAGGAATAAGTGCTTACTTTGTAAAGTCTGTGATACGTTCGTACCACCATGCTGTACCTACAACATAGTGGATAGTCCTCCGTACCATCTTCTTTATTTTATTGTGTGCCCAAAAAAATATAACTAAAATGGCGGTTTTTTTTATTTAAATGTATTATGACAGAACTACACTTATCTGTCGTGTTTGTTTTAATGCATCAGAGAGCTATCTGTTTCATAAATTTAATATGGTTAAAGTGAGATCAAGATTAAGAACAGTAATGACAAAATCAAAATGACATGGAATATTATAAACAATGAAACGAGAAAATCCAAAACCCGCAATAATAATTATAACTTAAATATTGTTAATAAAAAGGTTACATCAGATACTGAAGTTGCTACAGCATTCGAAAATTTCTTTACTGATATTCCAGTTTCAACGACTAAATCTTTGAACTCTTCCCCCGTTGCTGCCGAATCAATTTTAAGAGAAAACGTGAACACTTCTACTAGCCATTTTCATTTTAAACATGTTGACTTTAAATATGTAATAAAAACGTTTAACCAATTAAATAAAAAGAAAACGCCGGATCTATGTCGATGTTATCGTTCAACAACCGATGCCGATGATGAACTTATACAAGAAATTTTTAACGCCTTAGAGAACTCGCGGGACGCTCTAGATGTGTTTTGCAACTTGTCCAAGGCTTTTGATTGCGTTTTTCATGAAACATTACTTAGAAACTCCACCACTATGAATTAAGAGATACCGATCTGGATCTTATTGAATCATAACTGAGGGATAGGATTTAGAGGGTTGACATTAATGGCAATAAGTCTCAGGGTTCGCCGGTTAACTTGGGTGTTCCGCAGGGCTCAATCCTTGGTCCTTTCTTATTTTTTTTATATATTAATAACCTTACTATGAAAGAGATATACATGAGATTGTTTGCGGATGATACATCACTTTTATTTTAACTCAAACGCAAGGAAACAATTATAGATGACGTGAACAGTTGTATTTCTAAGGTAGTCCACTGGTTCAATGTTAATAATTTATTACTTAAGGATGGAAAAACGAAATGTATTAACTTATGTAAAACAGGTAAAAACCAGTGTGAATGTAAATGTGGGCCTTGTAGATTACCACATGTATTAGACCACAGTATTCTTAGGGATTACTGTAGATTCTAAGCTTCAATGGGACCCACATTTTGATAAATTGTCAAATAGACTTAGCTCTGCAACATAATGCTGTAACGAAGATATGCCAGTTAACGGATGTAGATACGGCCAGATTAGTGTACTTGAGTTATTTCTATAGTGTAATGTTGTATGAAATTTTGTTGTGGGGAAACGCCGCCGACTATTTTTGTGCCAAAGAAGAGAGCTATTCAATCAATTTATAATCTTAAAGTAAAAGAATCTCTAAGAGATAAGTTTAAAGAATTTGGCATAATGACGGTCGCATCACAATACATATACGAAAATTTATTACTCGTAAAACATAATAATTTGTGTTTTAAAAACAACGATGTTCACACACTTAATACAACTAACTTTACCTGCTACTAGGCTTCACAAAATCAATAATTCATTTATAGGTCTTTGTGATTGCTTATACAATAAAATCCCAAGCAATATCCAAGAGTTAACCATATATAAATTCAGGATAGTATAAAAAAGTAGTTAGGTACTATAAAAGCTTATTACAAAGTGTCTGCTAATATTACAGACAAAAATGGTTGGGTATGAACTGTTCCAATCATTCCAACAGCTTTTCTATATTAAATAAATCATGATTGTATTGACATTGTAACAACATAATGATTTGTAAATGTTGTTACATTATACTTTTAATGTTGTGGAGTTTTTTTCGCTCGCTCGTTTTTCTCCGCAGCTAAAAAATTTGTCCAATAACGAGTGGTAGGGAAAAAAATTTGGACGATATCAAAGAGTTCTACTATACATCCAATTTGAATAAAGATATATTGATTTCTCAACGCTGTCGAGACATCGCGACACACAAATATAGTTCTAACCGTACTAAATGTATGAAGCAGATTGCGTCACAACACAACACGTAAGATAAATATATTTCTGCAGGCCCGTCCTTTTTGTCTAAAAATCGTCCCTTTTCAGATTCCGAATCGTCCGAAACACGACGCAGGTACTGGCAACACTGGTCAAATGGGACTTCGTTATGAGTTGGACCATCATTTAGGTTAGGAAGAAAATAATGTTAATTAAATTATATAAGGTTCCCTAATTCGGCGAGTTTTAGTTTATTTGCAACAAAAGTACCTATGTGTGACGTGTCCATTATTATACCTGTTTTCAATGGTGAAAAATGGATCAACAATTGTATGAAATCAATAGCCTCGCAAACCATCCTTGATAAAGAAATTAAACTGGAAATTGTTGTTTACGATGATGGCAGTACCGATGAAAGCAAACAGATACTTGAGAAATGGGCTCAATATTTTACAGAAAAAGGCGTTTATTTCATCATAACTGGTGCGAAAACTACAAGAGGGGTTGGTGCTGCTAAAAATGGTGCCATCAGTATGAGTTCTGGGAGCTTCTTGTGCTTTCAAGATATTGATGACGTGATGCAACCAGAAAGAATCATGCAACAATGGCAATATGCTGTAAATCATCATGATACTTTAGTAGGGAGCAGAATCTCACGAATGCCACCCAATTCTACACCACGCTATGTTAGTTGGGCTAACAATATGACTCCAAGTCAGTTGATGTTACAAATTTATACTTCTAATGGATCAACTTTACTAATGCCGACTTGGTTTTGTCATAGATCTGTTTATGATAAAGTGGGTGGGTTTGATGAAAATGGTGCTGGTACTCCAGAAGATCTGATATTTTTTCATAATCATGTTGCTTTAGGAGGAAAATTATATAGAATAGATAAAAAATTAGTTGAATATACATATCATGAAAATGCAGCTTCATTATCTGTTACCAAGGAGTGTATTTGGAATATACAATTAAACAGGTTACAGAAAAACATACTACAGTATTGGGGCAACTTTACCATTTGGAACGCTGGAAAATCAGGTAGAAAACTAGTGCGAGCCTTAAATTCAGAAAACTTAAAAAAAGTAATTGCCTTTTGTGATGTTGATAAAAAGAAGATAGGACGTATCATCGAATTATATTGTACTAACAAAAGAAAAGTGATAAAAAGAGTGCCAGTAATTCATTTCCTTGAAGCGAAGAGTCCTCTTATTATTTGTGTTAAACTAGACCTTACAAATGGCCAGTTTGAAAGTAATTTAGCATCCATGAATCTCTGTGAAGGGAAAGATTATATTTTATTCTGTTAATATGTCTATTGTTTATTCACTGAAAACCACAGCATGACTTTTAAATATTGGCTATGTTCATTATTTATTCTTTAAATGGTATTAATTTGAATGATTGCTTCTGTTATGTTCAAGTTACTGTTATGTTTTTTGTGCAGAATTTTCATTTACTGATGCTATTGCGATCATCGCGGTATTGAAACAAATCAGCTTATATCACAATTTTTGTCAATTTAAATTCAACCTTACCTCTCTGTCAACAGAAAAACGAACGAGATTTTTTTATTCTCTTCTCAACGCTCAATGTTAGATGGCGTACGCACTTTATATTTATGCGCCTTTAAACTATCCGATTTTAAGGGGCCCTTACACTATGGCACAGTGTTTTATAGAACCAAAAATATTTACACCTTAAGGTTTTTGCATAAATCAATTATTTAAACCCTAATAAAGGCAAGAGTTCAATTCCCAGATCACTATTTTAAGTAAAAAAAAAGATATGAAGTAGCAAAGTTTTTGAAATTTGCGCATGAAAAAATTAACAATTTAATTTCCTCAAAGGACGGTTCCATATCTGTCCATGAGATATTTGCCACTTGCTAAGGAATTATTGATGGCATAATTTTGTAATTTTATTTTATTTATAAGTGTCCTAGTTTCCAACAAATATAGTTTTTTTAAATTTCGATTTTTAATTTTTTTCTCCAAAAATCGGCAAAAGTGGAACCTGGATTTAGTACAGAAAGGTTCTATAAGCCAAGTTCTATCACCCATAAAAAAATCAAGTTTCACTTTTGCGGTTTTAAGAAGTTATGACAGAATTTAGATAAAGGTCAACATTCATGATCTAGGGTTGTCACAAAGGTCAATTATGAGTTAAATGAAAATGTTATTTTTTTTTTTGTTATTAATACCGTCAATCAATTGAATAAATTATATTATATTATAATTGAATAAGTGTTGTACTTATAGACGAATACAATATACTTACATATACTACCTACCTAATGTAGATGTGATAATGTAGGAATACTTTATGTTTTAATTTTGACGACCACATTTTAATTTTGCCTTACACGCTAAATGGCAACGAAAAAATAAACTATGTTATTTGAAAAAATTTAACACACATCCTATACTATAAACGAGCAATTATTGTATGTACCTATATAAATATATGGGTATGTAATTGGTTTCTCGGAAACGGATCTAACGATTGTGATGAAATTTTGGATTTAGAAATTCATTCACATTTAAAATCAATCTAGGATAGTGTCATCACCTGCCGGCACCTTCTTTATGCAACACCTCTACTTTAACTTTTATACAAATAAATCATCGTCGTTTACTAATTCTAGGTTGCTTTGATTTGCGACGTTCGAAAAATCTTCATCTTCAGCATCTTCCTCTGCTTCGAATAACGGCAATCGATCTGCATCAATTGGTTGTAAGAGCTCGCAAACAGCTGAAGGCAAGGGAAATCGCTTAGAATATTTTCGACGTTGGCTGATATTTGCCATAGAAATAAACGGGTCTGATGCTTCTAGGGCACGGTGAAAGAGGTCCGTCATTGTGGTTCTCCTGTTCATTTTTCGGCAATGATGCTCTCTTTCTGAACGCCAGAATTTATTTCGGGACTCAGCTGCTTGTTCAGATAGCAAACCAATGGGCAGTGCACTGGACGCAATAATTTTTTCACCGTGCATGAGGATTTTATGAACTGTTACTGTCATCGGGTGCCAACTATAAAAACGGACATATTTTTCAACCCTAGATCATGAAAGTTGACCTTTATCTAAATTCTGTCATAACTTCTTAAAACCGCAAAAGTGAAACTTGATTTTTTTATGGGTGATAGAACTTGGCTTATAGAACCTTTCTGTACTAAATCCAGGTTCCACTTTTGCCGATTTTTGAAGAAAAAAATTAAAAATCGAAATTTAAAAAACTATATTTCTTGGAAACTAGGACACTTATAAATAAAATAAAATTACAAAATTATGCCATCAATAATTCCTTAGCAAGTGGCAAATATCTCATGGACAGATATGGAACCGTCTTTTGAGGAAATTAAATTGTTAATTTTTTCATGCGCAAATTTCAAAAACTTTGCTACTTCATATCTTTTTTTTTACTTAACCAATTACTACTTAAAATAGTGATCTGGGAATTGAACTCTTGCTTTTATTAGGGTTTAAATAATTGATTTATGCAAAAACCTTAAGGCGTAAATATTTTTGGTTCTATAAAACACTCGGTGTCAACCCTAGCATAAAAATTTAAAAATTAATATCTTCTAAACGCCGCAAAAGTGACACGTGGCTTATTTATGTATGATAGACCACATTCGTAGGTTCATTTCTATCTAAGTTCTAGGTTCCAATTTTTCGTTTTTAGGGAGAACAAACAATAAATACGAAATACAAAAAAAAAATGCTGCTCCCAAACCAATGCATTTTTTTAAGCTAAAGAGCCCTTAGGGTGCGGCCAGAGTGCACTCAGATTCAGATTCTGAAAACAAGCGCGAGAAATAAACAGTGTAGTCTAAGCAGGTTGCCTGCTTTTTCTCGCGCTTTGTTTTCTGAGTCTGAATCTGAATCAGGAGTGCACTCTGGCCGTACCCTTCGGGTGCGGCCAGAGTGCACTCAGATTCAGAATCAGATTCAGATTTCGAATACAAGCGCGAGAAATAAACAGTGTAGTCTAAGCAGGTTGCCTGCTTTTTCTCGCGCTTTGTTTTCTGAGTCTGAATCTGAATCTGAATCAGGAGTGCACTCTGGCCGTACCCTTCGATTACAGTGTTTATTTCTCGCGCTTGTTTTCGAAATCTGAATCTGAATCTGAGTGCACTCTGGCCGCACCCTTAGGGTGCGGCCAGAGTGCACTCAGATTCAGAGTCAGATTCAGATTCTGAAAACAAGCGCGAGAAATAAACAGTGTAGTCGAAGGTTACGGCCAGATTGCACTCCTGATTCAGATTTAGATTCAGACTCAGAAAACAAAGCGCGAGAAAAAGCAAGCAACCTGCTTAGACTACACTGTTTATTTCTCGCGCTTGTTTTCGAAATCTGAATCTGAGTCTGAATCTGAGTGCACTCTGGCCGCACCCTACGGCTACACTGTTTATTTCTCGCGCTTGTTTTCGGAATCTGAATCTGAGTGCACTCTGGCCGTACCCTTCGACTACACTGTTTATTTCTCGCGCTTGTTTTCGGAATCTGAATCTGAATCTGAGTGTTACCCATACACAGTGTTTTATGGAACCAAAAAAATTTTTCATGTTCAGGTTCTTACATAAATAGATTATTTATACCCTAAAAAAGGCATGAGTTCAATTTACAGAAGTCTAACTCAAATACTTTTTGAGAAAAAAAATCATGAACTTATCATGACCTTTGACCTATGAAATCTAGAATATTTTTTTATAAAGTGAATATTAACAATATATTTTTTTAATAAATATGTGTCAATCGGGCATAATCAGAGGTGTATAAACGCGTTTCTTTAGCTTAAAAAAATGCATTGGTTTGGGAGCAGCATTTTTTTTTTGTATTTCGTATTTATTGTTTTTTCTCCCTAAAAACGAAAAAGTAGAACCTAGAACTTAGATAAAAATAAACCTACGGATGTGGTCTATCATACATAAATAAGCCACGTGTCACTTTTGCGGCGTTTAGAAGATATTAATTTTTAAATTTTTATGCTAGGGTTGACACCGAGTGTTTTATAGAACCAAAAATATTTACAACTTAAGGTTTTTGCATAAATCAATTATTTAAACCCTAATAAAGGCAAGAGTTCAATTCCCAGATCACTATTTTAAGTAAAAAAAAAGATATGAAGTAGCAAAGTTTTTGAAATTTGCGCATGAAAAAATTAACAATTTAATTTCCTCAAAAGACGGTTCCATATCTGTCCATGAGATATTTGCCAATTGCTAAGGAATTATTGATGGCATAATTTTGTAATTTTATTTTATTTATAAGTGTCCTAGTTTCCAAGAAATATATTTTTTTTAAATTTCGATTTCAAATTTTTTTCTCCAAAGATCGGCAAAAGTGGAACCTGGGTTTAGTACAGAAAGGTTCTATAAGCCAAGTTCTATCACCCATAAAAAAATCAAGTTTCACTTTTGCGGTTTTAAGAAGTTATGACAGAATTTAGATAAAGGTCAACTTTCATGATCTAGGGTTGTCACAAAGGTCAACTATGAGTTAAATGAAAATGTTAAATTTTTTTGTTATTAATACCGTCAATCAATTGAATAAATTATATTATATTATAATTGAATAAGTGTTGTTCTTATAGACGAATACAATATACTTACATATACTACCTACCTAATGTAGATGTGATAATGTAGGAATACTTTATGTTTTAATTTTGACGACCACATTTTAATTTTGCCTTACACGCTAAATGGCAACGACAACAAAAAAATTACTTCAAACTTTGTTAAAAATTAAATATAAATATGGATGAAGGTACAAACATTGACTTATTTTTCAACACTGAACTTGGCGCGCTCTGCTGGTGCATTTGAATTGGAAAGTAACCTATCTATAATGTCACGGACAGACCTCCATCACATACACACTTTTTATATATATGTATTTCTCTATGAATCTGTGAGCTAACTCTTTAGTCTATTAATGTTAAGTATTCACTTATTCAGCTATTTTTATTGCGCTCCTTTTTTATACGTTTTCGATGTTACATTTTATAGTCAAAATTGCAAACTAAACCAGTTTTCCCATCCCATCCGCCTTTTCTTTTGCTGTCCACGACATCTTGGTCCTTCAGCCGTCGTTTTTTTTATTGAATTAGCGTTTAAAATGCTCACCAGAGCTAAGGCAGCAATGGAGATGGCGGAGCCCTCTCAAGTTGTGGGTAGGGAGGCAGGAGAGCACAGTGCTGCTTCGACATGTGGATTTTCAGCTACGTCGTCACAGCGAGCTAGTCATGTAGCTCGGCAAAAAGCTGCGGAAGCTAAGCTACAACGTACGCTTGCCGAACTAGCC